AAATTATTTATTTTAATTATTTAAATTAATTTAAATTATGCTATTATTTTGACATAATTTAATGTATTAACGAATTATATACATAATGAACTATAAGTAAGCACAAATAGAAGATAAATACAATTACAAAATAAATACAATTGTAATTTATTGTTTTTAATTCAATTTTTTTATTTGTGTTTTAATATCCTTTTAGATAGAGCAAAAAGAAAAAGAAACGGTGGAGGAAGAAATACAAGTATTATTTTTAATTCGATTTTTTTTACTTGTGTTGTATTTAATATCTTTTTAGACAGAACAAAAAGAAAAAGAAATGGAGGAGGAAAAGATACAACAGGTATCTTTAGAAATAGATAAATTGCCCAAAGGTCCTAAATTGCCAAAGGGCTCAATTATTTACTTCTCTGGTGTCTCTAAGACATGTACAAGAGAAGACATTAAAGAATGTTTAGACAAATATGATGCTCATATTGCATTCATCGATTTCCAAAGAGGAGATATGGAAGGTTGGGTGCGTCTGCAAGGAGAAAATGCTGCTAAACCTTTGTTAGAAAAATTAAACGAAGGCAAGGTGAGAATAGAATTTCTAAATATCGTTATCTATATTCTAAATATCGCGTATCTTTAGAGATAGATAAATTAAAAAGACTCAGTTATTTATTTCTCTGATGTTTCTAAGGACATATATATATATAATTCGTTAATACGATGAAAACACAGTGTAATGTACATTATGTAAAGTTCTTATCTTATTCAACAATTCTCTTCTTAGATGGAATTGCATCATGAGAGGGACTATTAGTTCTCTTCTTCGCGCCTCGCGCACGTCCTTTAAAGACAAAAAAACATTTCAGTATCTGCTTCTTTATATAATGTAAAAATATTTTATACTATAAGATTCAGATTGTTTTAACAGTTTAACTCAACGAAATCCACATATATATCAATATATGATTTCTCGGTATTAGCATGGCAAAAACATCATTATATATAATTGGTAATTGTAATATTTTGAAAATTGAATGATTTTTTTACCTTTTCTACCTCGTTTAGCTTTAATAAATTTATTCTTCGAAGCTATCATATCTCCCATAGCTTTGATAAGGTATTTATCTTCTTCCTCACCTTCGAGAATTTTACAAATAACCTCAACTTCTTGAATCATCACCTTGGAGTATAATTAAAATATTTTATTTGATTATTCCAATATAAACTAACAAAAAGAAAGTTACAAAATTTTAGAAATTCTATTCTCACCTTGCCTTCGTTTAATTTTTCTAATAAAGGTTTAGCGGCATTTTCTCCTTGGAGACGCACCCAACCTTCCATATCTCCTCTTTGGAAATCAATGAATGCAATTTGAGCATCATATTTGTCTAAACTTTCTTTAATATCTTCTCTTGTACATGTCTTAGAGACACCAGAGAAGTAAATAACTGAGCCCTTTGGCAATTTAGGACCTTTGGGCAATTTATCTATTTCTAAAGATACCTGTTGTATCTTTTCCTCCTCCATTTCTTTTTCTTTTTGTTCTGTCTAAAAAGATATTAAATACAACACAAATAAAAAAAATCGAATTAAAAATAATAAATTACAATTATATTTATCTTCTATTTGCTTACTTACAGTTGATTTCTTCGATTTATCTCTCTTTTTCCTACGTTCCTCTTTCTCTTGTGCTTTCTCTGCATTATAATCTGCACTGTACATATATAAAACTAAATTTAATTATATATATATATATATATATATATAAAATTTTTAATAGAATTGTGATTATATATTTTTACTTACGCCCATTTCCTTATTAATTCTGTATCTTCATATTTTACAGATTCTATAGCCATAAAGGCTTTGGCACTATCCAAAGTCTCAAATTGTATAAAAATAGATCCTTTAAACTTATAAGATTTATCTTTATCCTGATATTTTCTCATCTGCAAAACAAAAAATCATTGAAGATCAAAATATATTCGTAAGAGTACTCCGTGAAAAAATATGTTACATAGATTATGTTCTTAGTTGGAGCCAAATTTAACGTAGTAGAAATGTACTTGTTATATATGAAAATTTGTAGGAATGAAGAAGTGAGTATATTATGTCTACATCTTGATTTGGTTTTAGATTTCCAACTATTAACATCATGGATGAGTGTGTGGTGAACCAGCATATGATTATCCACATTATGTGGAGATTATAGATATTAAAACAGAGTACACACTGTCAAATAAATATATTTACCACAATCGTTTCAAATGGCTTGTATGGTTCGAAAAAAACTTTCAGTTTTTCAATAGTTATACCAGTCAATGGAAAGCCTTTTACATAAACTGTTCGTGCTTCTTGAGCTTTTCTATATCCTTCATTATATTCCGGCAGAGGATATTTTGGTGAGCGCCGTATTTTTTTTCTATCTTTAGATATCTCCATGAGGTCACTGGTTTCCAAAGCTTTCAGAATTATATCAATATTTTTGCTAATAGATGCCAACATTTTAAAGTTTAACATAACAGTCATTGGAACCCAGCCTTCGTCAAGTTTTGTTTGCTCAATGAGAAACTTGTCCCTTTGCATATTTACATTGCCAAAGTAATACTGCAAAATAAGCAAAAGAAGAAATAAATAAGAAAAGGTAGAAATAACATATGAAACAATATATAACTTGGCATAGAAAGATCAGATTTACAATCAACAAATCTTAAGCTTGATCCTGATCTTTGTCCGATATCTGTCTCGATTTAAACAAAAAAATAAAAATTCAAGACATCATTTGCCGATGATATAAAACTAATAACTTACAAGTTTTAAGTTACTGCCAAATTATATACAATTCATTTTATTCGTGGTTAGAGATTTTTAATCTATTATTTATATGAAATTAAACAGCATGAATGTGCAGATTTGTTTGATTCCACTAATGTAGACTTAACTTTAATCTCGATTCAACATACTCTTCATCTTTTTCTAGTTCTAAAAATTAGAAAAAGATGCAAGTTAAACCGAGATTGAAGTAAATCTACATTGGTGGAATCGGGCATTATTATCATAATCATTGATTGTTATCTATTGTTCCCCTATAATTCATCGAAATAAATTTCGAGATCAAAATGCGCGAATCATGAACTGCGTATAATCTGACAGCAATTTTATTATCCGTGCAGCAATTAATTTCATTGTTTATACCAATATGCTGCCATTATGTGGCATTATGAAATAGAGTAAAAATTATACCTCTACTTGTGCCTTTATTTTCTCCAAAAGTTCCGCAGAGGGTTCTTCCGTGTTTTTCTCCGAAGATTCGGCAGATTCCTTCGGATTCTTTTCCGTAGAATCAGAGATTTCTTCACTGTTTGTTTCATCTTTAGCGTCAACGGCCGGCGCGTCCTTAGTAACCTCAACGACGGCGTCGCCGTTCAGTCGATCGTTGCTTATTTTTTCTTGATCCTTCTCCATGTTTAGATATATTATCTATTATTATCTAATATAGAGAATAATACGAACGACAATTCTAATTATTTTATGCTCTTAAAACTCGAAAACGAATAAAAGGAAAACTACTGTAATCCTACACGTGCCTCTTCGTTTAAGTCGCAAAAGGAAGTGACGCTATTTCAACAAGAACAGCATATCAAGGCCAAAGTATACGATACATGATTTCTATGAGGCTGGTTGCACACAGAATGCGGCAAAGCAGCGACGCGATAGGTAACAAAGTTATATCAGAAAACAAGACGGTGATTGGCTAACGCATTGCCGCGTCTTGTGTGCAACCAGCCTGAGGCTAAAATTTCATTTGTCGTCCGAAATTTTTAGACGCGATGATTGGTTACAAAATAGAGAAATCTTGGGGACCTAAGAATTTAACTAATATGGCACTGTTCTGATTTCAGCATCATGGCGGAGAAAAGCTTGAAGGCAATACTCCTAGTTTGAAGCCATATTGTGACCACAGTTGTCTTCACAGCTGACATTTAGTAGTTAGATATAAATTAAATGAGTTATGTGATTGTCTATTTACAACATAATCGTAATATTTTAGTCTAATTTCACAATTTCTGTTTCTTGTATCTAATTAATTAAATGTCAGTTGTGATCACAATATGCCTGCTTCAATTAGGAATATTGCCAATCAAAAATCGCGACACCGATGTTGCTTTTCTGTTTATGTCCTACAAAAAAGATCGGGATTGCCATTCTGAACCTTCTACCTGATCTCGTAGACACGAGATTTTAGGTTAAATTAGTATTTTATTTGCTAGAACGAAACTCGATAATATCATTAATTGATATAAATATAAAATTTTCTAATTAGTGAACCATTGGAAAATTTCTAAACATCAGCCAATATGATTTGATGTGTGTATTACTGAGATTCTCCCAATTATAGGAATTTTCCGATAAGAAATACCAATGATGGGTTATTGACCACAGAATTTCAGAAAATACAATCAATCGGACAACCAATTGTGTAACATTATATTCAAGTATATTCTTGTTTTCGGACTCCTATTTTCAAGTGCAAAATAATACGAGAAATCAATTCGATCGATCGAACGGATTTTGACAATTATATGGAGATAAATGTATTAATATTAAATATTTTATCAGTATAATTTACATATTATATTTTTATTATTAAATAATTTTAAGTTTAGTAATCCTTATTCTGCGCAAGTGCACAGTGATGCAGATGATGCGTGTTGCTTGTATTCGTCATACGCGATAAACAAAAAACAAATCGGGTTGCACATCGAGAATTGTTGTAATATTTTTTAAATTGTGACATCAACGACTTGTAAATTAATATGGAAGACAATCAGTGTGTGTCATTAATTTATATGGCCAACTGCGATAAACCAGTGAAAATTGCATTTACTATTGGAGAACCCATCGAATATCTGTGTATGAAGGTGTGAATTCTTTTTTTTCTTTTCAATTAGATAAAGTAGAATGGAATGTTACCACATATATAATGTTGTCCCAGTAATAAAAATGTATTTAGACTTTGCTGAGAAATAAAAAAGATTTTTTATTTAAAGTGCCAAATAAATACCCAGGTATCAGGATATTTATTTGGATTAAAGGATTAACGTGGCTGATAGGATTTGATTGATTTTTTATTTAAAATAATTATTAAATTTTATTAATGAATTTTTACCTAATTGATTTATTATTTATTCTATCCAATATGTAAAATGTTGCATTATTTCTGCAAAATGTTATTAAATGAATTTTTAACTTATTTTATTTGAATAAATAACTGTTTTATTATTCCATGCATCTTAAAATTTTTCATTAAGTAAAAATAAATTTTTCTTAATTTTTAGGTATGCTGTATTTTTAAGATAAGTCCTTTAGCAAGATATTTATTTGCGTTGCAAAGTTATTCTACAAAACTATGGTTCCCTTATGGTCACATATTGAAAGAAGATTCAGAAAAAAGATTCAACTTTCGCTTAAGATTTAAGCCATCCAGTATGAATAGACTGAAAGAGATAGACTTGAATGCATATAATTATTATTTTGAGCAAGTTCGTAGGGATGTATTAGATAATAATGTACCTGATATTATTTATGAGAAACATAAACATGAACTGATTGGATTAGGAGTTAGTGACATGTACAGGTAAAATATGTCATCTTTTTCTAATAAAACTTTTAGTACAATAAACATCTTGCATGTAATTTATAATCATAAATTTGTTATAGATTTTTAATAATATTACTGAATGTTGTGTAATACAATTTCATGACATTTTATTCATTGTAGGGTAATGCTCGAAGACAAATTATCACGAGAAATTGTAGAATCAGATTATAAGAAATATATTCCAAAAGAATGCATAAAACGACATGCTTTCTTTATTAGAAAACCTATTCATAATGCACTTACAAAGTTATCTGGATACGATGCCGCATATGTCAAGGAACAATATTTGAAGCAGTTTGAACGCATGGCTCCAAATTATCCATATGAAGAATACACAGCAATAATGGATAAGGATCTTTCTAATATAAAAATTAAAGTTTTACTTAGAATTACTATAGAGCAAATAAGATATTGTGAGATTGATATTGGTACATGGAAAACAGTTTGTACGATTGCAGATATTTCCACTCTTTCTATAGGGTAATAATAAATATATTCTTACATATTAATATATTAACTTTTTAATTTCTAAATTTTTAATCTAAATCATATTTTCATTTTTAGAAAAACAACACTGTATTAATTGGAAGGAGGACTGGCATACCCTTTTGCATATTATTCGACACAAAAGCACTTTTGTTATCTTTTGTATCTGCATTGGACGGATATTATCGTTTATCAATCAAGTGGAATTTTAATCTCTGTAGTGGAGATCCTAGTACTATTACTCCTTCTTTAGAAAAATTACAAAAATTAAGATGTCATGGACCAGTTGGGTAAGATATTTTCTACAATACAACCCCATGTTGAATAGCCTAATGTAACATTTGCAAAATAACTTTTGAAAATGTTTCAGACAAGATTTCTCATACGCGAAACTCAAAGAAAAATGTGCCAACGAACCGGGAAGTTATATACTACGTGAATGTGAGGAAGAGTATTACGTTTATTATATTGATGTTTATGAAAAAGATGGAACTATATGTTCACATAGAGTGGAAGAATCTAAACCTAACCAATTTAAAATGTCAAACACAATATATAAATCTTTGAGGCATTTAATTTCTTCATTTCAAGATCCAAATGATAACATATACTTTGGAAAATGCTTGGGATTTTCGGAATATGGTAAGCACATGTAATAATATATGAAACATATAATGAAACATATAAAGATTTTTGATATTACATATAAAGATATATAAGAACACTAAAATATCGATACTTATCTTTATATATAAGATATATAAAGATAAGTATCAATATTTTAGTTTCTTATTTATATCTAAAGAATGTTTATTTTTTAGACAAGTCAAAATTATTACTTTGTACTTCGGAAAACATTGTGGATGAAGTAGCAGCAGACGAGGGAATAATCGCGAATTTACTGAAAAACGGACCGCGGTGCGTACCATGGAATGAATTGCAGGTATACAAAGCAATCGCGAAGAGTGATGACGATTTGACTTGTACCGCAACAATGACGAGTATGCATCGAGCTATATGGCGAATCACTAAAGGCAAGAAACTCGAAGTTATGATGAAAATACTGAAGACTGAGGAAAACAATTATACCAAAGAATTTTTGGATTTGATCGGCAAGTGGAGTCAATTACGATCTCCAGCTCTAGTTAGGTGAATATTAAAAATGTTAAGAGAATCATTGGAATGTGGAAATATAACGTTTTTCTGCTCCGTTTTCAGATTATATGGTATAACTGTGGCCCCGACAATCGGAATGCTACTCGAGCTGGTAAATTTAGGCCCACTAGACAAATATCTGTACAGTAGAAGCAAGTTTGTATTAACGGTCGATATGGTGGAAGCCACAGTTTGTCTGGCAACAGCTCTGTGGCACTTGGTAATTCTCTCTAAACATCTGTATATTATATCTTGACGTTAAGCATATTAAACATAAGAATTTATGTACAGGAGGAGAATCGTGTAATTCATGGAAATATAAGATGCCGGAACATTCTTGTACATTTGCATACAGATAACAGCTTCATTGTCAAGTTAGGAGATCCCGGTCTCTTTACTTACACGGAAGACGAGTAAATACATAATAAATAGAAGTTGTGTCCAATTATGTTTATTATTCTTTAATATAAAAATCTATGATCTTTTCTTTTCTTTATTTTACATAGTGTACATTGGATACCACCAGAATATTACACAGATTTCGCGTCCGCAAAGTACAATCTTCAAGCGGACATATGGGCGCTGGCGACAACTATTTGGGAAATATTTTCCAGAGGAGCTTCCCCACCTAAGTATCATAAAACTCATACTGTTAAAATGGTACGTCTATTGCGAACAAAGAATTACGAAATTAATTTACGCTGATGAGATTGCTTTTTTTATTATAAAACACGATTAAATGGCGATGTTTTGCAGTATTACATAAGCGGGAAACGATTACCTCCTCCCAACGATTGTCCAAGCGAAATTTATAAATTGATGTTGGAATGCTGGGGCACGAATTCTATACCAAGGAAACAACCTCAGGCAATCATGCGAGATATCAATCAGATTCTTTATGAAGCATATAATTGTCGTAGAACTCATAATTATGCCACTATACCTCCTAAGCTTCTCAGTGACGAGAACGGCAGTCTTTATACAGAAGAAAGCAGATCGAATAGTGAATCGCAAATAAGTTTGAACACTGATTACACTACTGTTCCTTTAGATATTGATCACAGTGAGTCGATATAAATTTTTTGTATTACAAAAATAATATTTAATATTATGCTTTTCTGATCAATTTTAACATTATTTATGTGTAAGTAACAAACTCTAAATATAATAGATATAAGAATCAAAGATCAAATTTTTGTTTCTTTAAAACAGCAGTTACACAGCAGTTAGTCAGCTATCAGAATCAAGACGACTTATTGTCTTACACGAGTTGGCTAAATAACAAAATATACAAAATGCTAGGCAATACTGTCGATTGTGATCCGAGCCATGAAAATAGCTTGGGCAAAATCAACGAAAACAAAGCGAATGGTCAAATTTGTAACAACATAGATAGTTCCCAATGGCAATACGAAATAAATGAAAATACGACTGTGACTCTACAAAAACGCATAGGCCAAGGCTTTTATGGTGAAGTGTATAAAGGTACACTCAGGAAGCGCATTGATAACAATATCTCAGAGGAAGACGTAGCCGTTAAAAAGCTTAAGACGCAAGATTCGACAAACATGCTTGACTTCGAAAGAGAAATTAAAATCATGGAGGTAAATAATCAATTTAAGGAGGAGAAATAAATTTAAAAATCAAGTAATATCATAAATCTTTTTTTGTAAATCTTTAAATTGTTTTTTCGAAAATCCATAATGTAAAATTTTTATATTAAAAATCTTGAGAATTTTATTGATGTTGCAATATTTAAATAATATAATTTTATTTGTGTAATTTGTTTATTAACTTTGTTACAAAAAACACATATACGTATTAATGTAAATCTTAAAGAGATTTATGAAACATGAAATATTTCTATTTTTTCTGTGTATACTTTGAATTAATATATACTAATTTATTACATGATAATAGCAAGTTACATGAATATTAAATGTTTTCTGTTTGTTTTTTTTTCTCTTTAGCGTCTCAAACATGAGAACATCGTGAAAATTCTATGTTCAATGGATCGAATCCTAGTGATGGAATACATCCAATATGGTTCATTGTTGAGTTATTTAATGTCGCATCGATATAGTCTTTCAGTAAAGATACTTTTAGGCTTTGCTAAAGATATCGCCGCGGGCATGAAATATCTTGGTAGTATGAACATTGTCCATCGGGACTTGGCAGCAAGAAATATCCTAGTAGCGAGTGAAGACCAAGTGAAGATTAGTGATTTCGGTCTCGCGCAAGTGATAGCTGCGAGTGATTATTATGTATTTAAAACTCTTCGTAATATTCCATTTAAATGGTAAGTATTACAAAAAATATTAATGTTCTTTTTTAATATTTTTTTAATATTTTTATGTGACTATCATAAAATAAAATAACGATATAATAATCTAAGCGAAAATAATATAATTTTTTATTTTCTTCTTCCCAATCATATTGTTATTGATTGAGATCAGATTTTCTATGTCTCACTAACACGCATAATGAAAAACAAACAATTTTTTTCTTAGGTACGCACCAGAAAGCTTGAGTCAAGGCAAATTTTCAACACGTTCGGACGTGTGGTCATTCGGTGTGACAATGTATGAAGTTTTCAGTTACGGTGTTGACCCACAGTTGCCAAATAAAGAAATTACAAATACGACTGAATTATTAAAAGCCTTGAAAGAGGGCTACCGTCTTCCTTGCCCAAAAGATTGTGATGCAAGGATCTATAAAGAATTGATGTTATCATGCTGGGAAGAAGACAGTCACAAGAGACCGGTCTTCGCTACTCTATACGAAAATATTAAGCGATTAATGTATTCATTTTAATTATTAGAACTTCTCTACAAAAATCGTTTATTGTTATTTCAGAAATTGTGACATATCTCATATATAATTCTAACAATAATAGGTGATTCTTTGATGAGAGTGAAATTGATTTGTCTTTCATAAGTTTTTCATTCCTTTTGTAAGATCTCTATAGAAAAAAATATGTATAAATATGTATAAATATGTATAAATCAATTCTATTTTTATATTTTTAGAGAAATAAATTTAGAAAAAATACTATTTTCTAAAACTTTGATTTAGAAGAATAAAAAATCAAAGAGTCTCTCATTGAAGAATTAATAACTTTTCGATTTTAATTTCGTGTAAAAAAGAGATATATCTAGTCGATGATGTTATCACCATTTCATTATATACATATTCTGTAAAAAATATACCACTTGATCATAATATCAGTTTATTGTTTCCAAAAAGTTATAAATTCATTCTAGGTTTTTTATCCACAATCTTTTCTTTTTTTATCAACCACTATAAACAGACTTATACGAGAACACTATTTACACTATTTACTGACAACGAACCTACATTCATATGGAGCTATGCACCATCCCTACATTGTTTAAGTATTTTTTTTATGCAAGCTATTTGTGTAAGTATTTTTTTTTATATTGTTTGTTATTAATTCAAAAGTATATATGATATATATTTCATTTTTATTTCATTTTTATTGAAAAATTCTTTGATGAATAAATTTTTATACTGTTAGATAAATATGGATTAGGGAAAAAAGATATTCTCTAAAAATGTTATGTAACAAAAAATAGAAAATTTGAATAAATTTAGTATTAGACAATCAACAATCTTTGCGGCGCGTCTCTATGCATGTACATATGTCTGTACATACGTATATATATATATATATATATTATTTTTTTTTTAATGTATATATATTTATTCATTTTCTTTGCCACGGTAAAGTTTAACGTTCACTTTACATCGAAACTTAATAATATTATATCTTAAAAAAAAACAGCCTATTTCTAAATAAGTACTAACTAAGTATTTTTGAATAAGACGCATATCTTATTGAAGAAATGTATCTAGTCGACAAAAATTGTGCTGCTTGAAATCTGTAATACAGATATAAAAAATATTTCAAGATAAATACCGTGTATCTTTTTCACGTTGGATTTTCTTCATTTGTCATTTCCACCTCTCACTTTTATTCGCAATAATTGTTTCAGTGAAATAATTACGCGTACAAGGAAAACCGTGAGAAAACAAACTATCTAAAGATAATTTCCATTCGCAAACTCCGCGGATGGTTTAGTTCCCATGTTATTATTCGAGCAGTGTATTCGCCCTGCCGATCAATTCTTTCGACATGAGAAATTTTCGCTTGTGCGTTAAGTGTGCATTTTCCTTCGCTGTAATTTACACGGTGTAATACCGCGAAAACAAAATAAGAGATATACCTTGAAAAAAAAGAAGAAGCGATTACAATCAATTGAATAATAACGACGACGAATTTCCGATTCTATAGTCAGTCTTCTTCAAACTTTCGAAACAAATGGAACAAGTGGATCCTGAAGAACATTACTACAAATTAAACCGATTTCTTCTATCGGTCAGTGGACTATGGCCTTATCAAAATGAATGGAGTGCTCGTTTAATGAGAGCCATCATTACTTTCATCATGTTGACGTCTACAATTTTCCAGGTAGTCGTGGTTGTAGAAAATATTTTTCTTTTCAGTTAAATAATGGATTTCTTTTTAACTGGAAGATTTGTGTTAATATTGGATAATATAATAGATTATAATATTAGATACAAATGAGATATAAACTCGGTAACTAAACGTCAATGCCTTTCAAAGCTATAAGAGTTTTTATGCGAGAAATCCGATCGAACTTATCTCGATCAAATTATATCTTGATAAAATTAATATTGATCTTCATTTTTATCAAAAGTTAATAATGTTTTCAGTTAGCAAGCATGTTTACATCTGATCTCACTCTGGACTTTATAGTGGACCTGATTCCATTGGTTATACTTACATTAGGTACCCTGACTAACTTGTTCTCGCGTATCCTACATATAGATAAAGTAAGTAGATCCTCACAATTTACATTCTTTAAAATTGAGATTTAAATTCTCGTTTCCACATAAAAATCTTCGATTAAGTTTTAGATAAATAAAATAAAAATTATTATTTTATATATAAAATTTACTTTAATTCATTTTAATTAATCTAATTTCGTTAATTAAGTTACTGATTTGTCATTATCTTTCAAGCACTTTTACAGATAATTTTTATCAATAATAAAAAATAAAAGTAAAACAAAAGTCAATAAAACGAAATACAAAATAACATCATAGGCAAATCATATAATGAGAAAATTAAAGTGTCTACGAAATTTAATCTAAGAAATTTAATTTAAGATCGAATACATTAATATTTATTTATTTTTTAATCACTTATATAATATGATTATTCACTTATCGTTTTACTTTCTTTTAGCTTAGAGAATTATTCGATAATATATGGAAGGACTGGGCATTACAAAAGACACACGATGAAATCAAGATCATGCATGAGCGTGCTAAAGTCACACGATTTCTTACATTATGTTATTTCAGTAAGAAAAATATTAAATCTCGCTTTATTTACAGAAGAAAAAATCAAATATTTCTGTCTGTGAGATCGAAGCTACATTTTCATGTGTGAGGTCGCGAAAATCATGTTTTTCATTAAAAGCATTGAACATATCGTACACGTAACTTTCGATGACTAATACACGACATTTCTTCTGGTCATTGATAATTCACGATTTCACCTTTACAAAATATTTATTATAATCGCTATCATTAAATTAGATGAACGCAAAATTTTCCAAGCATCATTCATTTGATTTGGCGCTTATCATTTTATTCCCTCATTTTCTCCGAACTTTATCTTTGTATTTATTTTACTTTCAATAATGTATTAATATTTCTATATGTTTTAATTTAAAAATCTTACTATAATATTTTTAAACATTTTTACATTAAAACTTTTTAATCACAAGTTCATGAGACTATTAGAGGTTGAATATGACATTAAAAAAAAATGTCTAGTTTTCTTTAATCTTGTATCTCATAAATATACTGCTTGTGAAGAACACAAAACAAAGTTAATCGTACAATATTTTTGCAAAAACAAGAAACCAATACGACTTCATTGTCATTGTCTTTATTTCTTTCATTAACATATAAGCTAAAAATAAATATAAATAAATAATAAATATAAATTAATAAATTTATAATTATGAAATTTTCCAGTTCTGATATATATAAGCATAGGGATATACAACGTATGGATGTTCGTACCAGAAATTCTCAATATTATATCACCCTTGAATGAGTCTCGCCCGCGAAGGCGACCCTTTCAAGCTGAATTCTTTATCGACGAGGAACGATACTTTTTCCTCGTTCGGTCACATATATGTCTTTCGATTATTATCGTACCTATAGTTTATCTCGCCGGTGCCACCCTATTTCTGGCTCTCGCGCAACACATTTGCGGAATGTGCGAATTGCTGGGGTAAGAAATTATTCCTCGCAAATGACTACTATTTGCGAAAGAGCAGACGACTCTTGGGTTGCCAGAAAGCAGAATGTAACTATCAACATCTGTAACTATCTTGAATATATGTGACCGACATATCTTTCTCTCATGTCAGAGAAAATTCAGAGAAAACTTTTCTTGTTTATCATTTTTTTATTATTTTATTGTCTTTTATTATACGAATGATAATCAGCCGTTTCGTCTTTTCTTCCGCTCATTGCAAAATAAACATCGTTTCGAGCAAAGTTAATTATATAAAAATAACGCGATAATTTCGACAGGTATCGCGCGGAACGCTTATTTTGCATCAGAGACGAGGGATTTAATTTAATTAAGGGATCAAAAGTAACTCGTGGAAACATTGCTGTTCTTATACGACTGCATTACAACATTATACAGTTCGTATTCTTATTTAATACACGCGATATTTAATGCATCAATATATAATCCCATTTTTTATAAGTAAGCTACTGAATGTTGATTTGCAAGCAAAATTAAAAACTAATGAAGTCTCTTTCATTGACTCTTAGATGTAATTTTATTTAGCAAAAACTTCAATTTTAACATTAAATATATTATATAATATATTACATAATAAATGTAACTATATATGAATGTGATATATACATGTACATGTTTTAATAAATATTTCTCCTAAAATTTATATTTAAAGACGCGAAAAATTTTATTATTGTTATTTTTCTCTCTATCGATAAAAATAATCAATTTTTTTAAATACAAGAAACTTCTTTGCCTTAATATTTTAACATGTATGACTTTTTTTGCATTACAAGATTCGTTGATATTCTCCAGATTTTTCACACAATACCATTTGTATTGGATCTTATAGGAACAGTGATTTTGCTGAGTATGACATTAAGCCAGGTACTTTGTTAATAAAAATGCATTAAGCTTCTACAAAGTGTTAAAACAAAATCTTTTAGATATTAAACATTTCTGGTATAGAGCGTGCTATTAGATGTATCGGTATTGCTGTGGTATCTCTGTGTTATGTATTTATATATAACTATATGGGACAAAAAGTCACAGATTTAACCTCAGACATATCTAACAGAATGTACGTACAATAAATTTCTTCAATAATATATTTATATATAAAATTATATCTCGCGCGACAGTATTTAAACCAATAACAAAAATTTTTTAATATCTTGTCCTGGTTTATAAAATTGTAAAATTTGATCGACAAAATAAAAACAAAATTCTTCCGCAGGTACAATTCAAGATGGTATAATGCAGTTGTTTCAGACCAAAAGACATTATTAATAATAATGATGCGACGCTGTCAACCACTCTTCCTGACAGCCTGTAAATTCTACGTGATGTCTTTGCAGAATTTTGGAATGGTAAGAAAAAGACATATTGCTTTCATGCGAAATGAAGAATAAAACATATATATCTTTCTAAGATACTTCAAACAACGATCTCCTATTGCATGTTCATCAGACAAGTATGAAAAAAATACTTTTGTCACATTGTGCACGTAGAAATAATGTAGGGAAATTATGGAATTGTTAGATATGTACTGATCTTCTTTTTGCAATCATTAAAAATTCCTTGTAAAAATTAGCAGTTTACAGGTACGTATACACAAAATAAATATAGTGAAACAACTCACAGAGAATAAATTCTTTACAGAGTAACAAGATACTTTTCGGAGCATTTAAAACAATGCTGCAATCTTTATAATAATTTTATTTTAATGAGAGATTCGCTAATAATTTTACGATTAATTTATCTTATGTACAAAAGCCTTTAATTTCATTTCTTTAAATTTTCTATCTAGAAATGTAAATATTGATGTATAATAATAATAAAAAATATCTGTCGTATATCTACCTATGATGTTGCACCGAGATTCTCTTTTTGGAATCTTCGTAGATAAAGTACTCATTTCATGAGCAATCATTAAAATCAAGAATGATTTATATTTTTTGAAAGAAAAATATTTTTTTGTTACATACTTTTTACGAAATAGACGATTCGAATATTGTTTTTCATCTGATATCTTCCCTCATTCATCTCTCCCTTTTCCCTTTACTCCCTTCATAATCATCGAAAAATAATCGCGCGTGCAAAAGAAACTAACACAATACGTGGAAAATAGTTTGGAGACAATTTTTGTTCGCAAACTACCGATGTTTCCTTTCCCACGTTATTACTCGAACATTGCATGCGCGCTACCGATCGATCCCCTCGTCGCTTCTGAAAAATTCGCCTTCATCCTAAATATACATTTTTCTTCGACGTAATTCACTCGATATTATTGCAAAGACAAGAG